TGATAACTTTTGATTTTGAAATTTTAGCAAAAGTCATTATAAACAGTTTATGAGATTGAAAACGAAAAACGTGGGGCGCATGCAAAGCAAAGCATTAGATTTAATTGACAATAGTCAAACTACATAACATAGACCTAAAATTTCTACAGATAAAGTACAAATTTGAGATCGATTTTAAGCGGACGTTATTCATATATCCACATTCATATCAATTCAGGTCTATTACATGCGCACCACGCTTTTCATTTTCAATCTCATGAATGGTTTATAATGACTTTTGCTAAGATTTCAAAATCAAAAGTTATCAAAACAAATTCTATGGGACTGAGAAATATTATTTTCTACTTTTTAGTCAATTTATAAAAGCATGGTATATTAAAAAGTTTTTTTTTTATTTTCTACTTTTAGGCTAGTCTGTATAAAATTTTGCAACAGATATTAAAATAATTTAACTTGAGAAGAACAGAAGACTATTGCGCAAAATACACCACACAAATATTTGCGCAAATACAATTTGTCCAAATAAGATTCTTATTCGATTCCTATTTGTAAAAGTTGGCATTTGCGCAAATATTTGTGTGGTTTATTTTGTGCATATGCAAGCAAAATGTTTTGTGCTCGTATGTATGCATGTACATATGGCTTGTCGTCCATTTCCGCTGTAGCGTATGTAGTGTATATTTTTAGGCGCAATATTTAATTACTTCCGGCAAGGCCTACCGTCGAGATTGATGTCTAGACTTTTGTATAGGAACTTTGATTATAATCTATAATTATAGCTAAAAATTGTGTCTGGACACACAACATTGCAATTGATAAAAGCGTTGTAAAAAAGGAGCAGAAAGTACCCAGCAAAAAACACGATTACCACAGAAACGAAAGTGGATACGAGCTAGGCGATGGGAATCGCTTACCCTTTCGCTTCAAGAAGGCCTTATTTTAACATGGGCATGTCATTGGAGGTAAGCCCTTACTCACAGCATCACCTTCAAACGAAGGGAGAACGCATGGATAAACAGAATCCAGAGAAGCGAACAAAGAATGCCTTACAGAGAAACTAATGTAGAATGCCCAGATGAGTACATACTTATTTATATTAAATCAGAAAATGTCTTAAAAGATTAAAATTAATTAAAATTTGTATAAATCGGTTTTTATACAAACATATGTATTTATTTAGGTATTTAGAGTTTCTTAAAAATCGGTATGTACATACATGCATATTTAACTAAGCTTAAAAGTGTACTTCCTCACTCTTGTACTTCACTTCATTGACTGACTTCAACTTCGCTGCAAATTGAACAAAGCAAAACATGATTTTTATGCGAGACAAATTTCCACAGAAAGTAACGGTAGAAAAAGAAGTTTTGGGTATTCATTCTATTTTTCAGCTAACTACGATGCAGCATTCTACTTTGCATTCTCCGAAATGAAGCAAAGAAGCGAAATAAAAAAAAATATTGTAGGACATTCTACTTTGCATTCCCTGAAATGAAGCAAAAAAGCGAGACAAATAAAATATTGTAGGGCATTCTACTTTGCATTTCCGGAAATGAAGCAAAGAAACGAATTAAAAAAGAAATATTATAGGACATTCTACTTTGCATTCCCCGAAATCAAACAAAGAAGCGAATAAATAAAATATTGTTGGACATTCTACTTTGCATTACCGGCAATGCCTAAAAGAAGCGGAAAAATTCGAAGGCATTATAACGCTATGGCTTCTAGTACACGTTACCACTAAAAGCGATTACCGATTTTTTGCTGGGTAATTTTTCATTAAAAATTCTTATTTTTGCGAGCACTAACATAAAAATTAAGATAGAGAATTTGCCGCAACTATTTTTTTTTGTGACCGACAACAAAAATTTCATATGGGACCTAAGGAAAAAAATAGTCGTTTTATTTGACACAGTCTAAAGCATATTCACAATAAATTAATTTTTTCTTACCCCATCCGAAACGATAACTTTCGCAAGCTCTTGGCCCAGTGATGTCTCCCAGCACATACTGGTCAAATTACGCTGAACCTCATGTATGTTTTGCTTCACTTTCGCCAATTTTATTTCATAAGTCTCCATAGGCGTCAGTGTGGCTGTAGTTGGAGTAACTGTTGTATCTATGTCTGTTGTACTGAAGTATTCTTCCGGATATGGATCACAAATAGTACGAATGCAAGTATCGAAATTTTCTTCATCGATTTCATTGGCCTCATAATTAATCGTGTCGGTAGATTCGTCAAGAATATCATCTTCCGCTAAGAAATATGGAGTGCTGCTGCCGACGAGTTCAGTTGTTGTTGTTGGAATCATTGTTGAAATTGTTGTTGGAACTGTTGTTGTGGGAAGCGGAAACGTTGTGGTTGGTGGATCGACAGTGGATGTTGAGCTTGTAAAATAAGCCAATACTTCACCCAACAGCTTAGTATTGACATGTAACGTCGGCAATAATTCATTTTGAGGCGACTCCAATGTTTCATTTTGTTGTTGATGCGTCTGTTGCTCCTGGCGACTTGTTACAACCGTGCTGGAACTGGAATCGTCGACTGGCGTGGATAAAGGTAATGTTTTTACAGTTGTAGACGTTGAATCATCGGCCGAATAGTATTCGTTGTCTTCTCTCTGTCTGTGCCGCTCATTTTGTCGTCGACTATACATGCTCTGTTTTGGCATTTGCATTGGCTCATCTGGCGTTGGCAGCGCAGCTTGTCTGAGCTTGCGGCTCAGTGGTGGCAGATTTATGAGGTTTCTAGCACGCCGCACATTTTCGGTCGTTGCACTTAAACTGTTGCGCGTTGTCTCTGTTGCCGCCGCCGCTTCCAGCGTGTCGCTGAGCTCGAGTGGCATCCCTACAAAATAATCCATATAGTCGAAGAAATCATCACTGCCTGGCGCTGAGGTCGTGGTTGAGGTGGATTCTAGTGTCGTCGATGGCTCAGTGCTTTCAGTTTGTCTTGAGATCTCTGTGTATTCAATTATTGCGGTCAAAGTTGTATCTATCGCTAGAGTCGGCGGCTCTGTTGTAGTGAATTGTGTGGTGGTGCTCAATTCTTCTTGCGCTGTCCACGTTGTATCAATTTCCGTCGCAGGTGTTATTATGTAAGGTGGGGTAGTTAACGTGCTTGACTCGTCCGCTAGGTGCGGCAACATTGAAGGGGTGGTTATGTTGAGAAGAAGCATCGTGGTTGCTGTCGCGAAATTTCTCACCTTGATGCGCGTTGGTTTTGAGCATTTCACTGTGATATTGCGGCATTTCAGTCGTGTGGTCCAGCCATAAAGTGTTGTGGCAGCTGCGGTTGTCGTTAGCAGACTGCTGGTAGTTGCGTTAAAATTAGTGAGCGCCAGGCCCACTTCAGTACTGTTACTACCGCTGTTTTTCAGGCCCTCAATTAGTTGTGTTAACTCATTTATTTCATTGGTAGAGTTGTCGTACCGCTCCTTGAGCAATTGCAATGGCCCTTCCTTGCTGTTGATGTTGTAAATGAAGGAGAACATCAGCGAATACAAGTTGAGCATGTTGAGTATCATAATGCTGCCGAGGAAATAAGAAGTTTGTTAAATATTTCATGACATTCGAAGCTATGTGAGTGTATGCAACAAGTATGTTCATTGAGCCTTGACTCTTAATGGCATATGACAGGCCTTGGTATAATTTTCTGTCAAAATGCGAAAGCGAAAGTCCACTTTGCTGAGTAAACACCCAAAAATAACATTTTACATACATATTTGCACAAATCACTTTCTGACATAAAAATCGCAAGATAACTGCAAGTGAAAGAACGCAAATCCCTTTTGAGAAATAATTAGTCTGTTCCTTTGAACTTCGGTCTAAAACCTGTGGAACTGTCAAACTACAATTTTACTCTCACTTGAGGAGAACAGATGCCGAAGTGTACGGGAACGCAAAAAGCACTTTTTCCTGTAAAAACGTCGGTCGGTTTTTTACATGACATTGGTACAACACTGATTCGGTTGAAATATCACTAAATAATTATTAAAATCTGTACATATTCAAATATTTCGTTGTTTACTTCCATTTTTTAACAAATATAAGGTTCTTTGCCCTCACCGCGTTCCGTTTTTGTTTACATGTGCAACCCTGCATATCGTTTGACACTTTTCATGAACTTACAGGAAAAAAAACTCCGGACTAAATCCTGTAACTTCTGGCTAGGAACAGTTGCTCGGTTACTCTCTCAAAAGTGTTCCCACTTACAGGTTTTATGTCTATAGGAACGACTTTCTGTAAGTTCTGACTAACCCCGCTTTTCTAGCAAATTCACAAAACTCATCGCATCACTATTGTGATTTCTAATGCGCTACAAAGTATGTTGCTACGACAAATATGCCGCTCAAAAAAAATTTTAAATTTGTGTGCCTTTCCTTACAACTTGAAATCCAACTTTTGTGGCATACTTTCGGGCGCAGTAATAATCACAATAGTGATGCGCTGCATTTTGTGACTTTCTTAGAATAGGGAGCTAAATCCTGTAAACCGGTCTGCTATTGGAACAGACTAAATTTTAACTTGCTCGGATTGCTTTATCAATTATCATTTTTGCTGAAAGTGCTGCGAAACAAATCAAATCGATCGATTTTTGGCGAATTTGTGTAAAATTATAAAAATGTTGAATTATATACCAAAAAAAGTAATAGGATAAAAATATTGTACATCGCGGTAATACTAAATGAGACGGGATTTTCGAATACAGTATAGTGGTATTCACCAAATTGAGCAAGTGGCCTGGCACTCTGGCAACAGAGCAGATTAGCTGAAGCAACGACTGTTGGCAACAGTAGTTGCTTGAGCTAATCTGCTCTTTTACTAGACTGCCAGGCCACTTGCTCACTTTCATGAATACCACTTATATTTTCGTGAAACACCTTTATAATAAAAGCTAATAAGAACGGTTACAAGGACAAAGCTAATTGAATTTAAATTTCATTGATTTGAAATATTGAAGTTGTGTTCCGATTTTAGATAATTATAACTAGGGAATGGATTTTATGGAAATTGCCTTTTTTCTGCTAAAGAGATAGTGTATACTTGATTAAGAATGTCCACGAGTTAGCTTTCCCTGATTCAATATATACACTTTTGCCGTTGCCTTTTTAAAAATATTTGCCCTTTTTTGCCTTTGTACCTTTAAAAAAAGAGATTATAGCGAGGAAAAAGCCCTTATTCCTACGGTGACCATCCGTCCTGTATTATACGGGACAGTCCTCTTTTTTGACCCATTGTCCTGGTAATTAATTTATTTTATACGGGACGCCAAATGTTCTGTATTTCTTTTAATGTCCCGTATTTGTCCCGTATTCGGTGCTCTGATGCCTTAACAGCTCATTAAAATGGCATGCCTATGAACGAGTTTTAAGTGATCTTGTTATAAGTATGATCGTAATTTTTTTATAAACAGTTATTATTTTCTAATCTGAATGCCTGTGATTCGAATCGAGGAATAATTACAGTGGCCAAAATAGAAATTAGGACTCGACATTTTAGTAAGTTTTGGCTATTTTTCCTTAGTTTATTTAATGTTTATATTTTCATTTTATAAAAGTAAAGCTCTTTTCCTAACAAAACCCATATACATACATAATACGAAATTTCCAACTTTGTGCAAAAAACTATAAAAATTAATTCTGCGCTGTTTCGCCAAAATTTCAAAACTTTTAATTAGAATCTTTAGAAAAAAATTCGGTTTGCAGTTTTGTAACTCATTAAAATTGAGTACAATAAAGTGCGAGTGGAAAGTGCTGCTTCTCTTTCAAAAAAAGGTCGAACATACTTACTTTGTACGAAAAAAATGCTTAACACCGTCAACAAAAAAAAAAATTCCAAAAATTAGTGGTAAGCCTTACCGACTTAAAATTGCACTTTATTATACTAAAATTTAACGATTTTTTTTAAGAAACTTTACGGGGTAAAAATCTCGAGAAAATTATCCTACAAATTTGTGATGTTACTATAGGTATACTGTTTCAGGGAAAACAATGTGGAAAAAACTTGCAAAATTATTTTTTGTCACGTATTCGGCTCTCATAAATATGGTCACCGTACTTATTCCTGATAATATAAAACTTTCAAACGTTCCATATTTGAATTGGACGCAACTTGTATCAACTCACGTCGAGCGCACGTTTAGTACATTCAGCGCTGTGTTAAAGCCTGTTCTGTTACAAAAAAATCAGATTGATAATGAAGAAAATCGATGGGTGAATAAAGAACTAATAAGTGGTCATATGAAAATGCGCAAAGATTTTTTTATGAAAAAATGAGCAGGAAAGAATGTTACTCATACGTAGAGATGGCAAAAAATATAAAATAATCGATTAATTAATCATATGATTAAACACAAGCCAAAAAAAGTTAATTGCAATTATTGAGAAATAATCGATTAATCGAATTTTTAAAGGCACTTTTTTACAGTGAGTATTCAGAAAAACACTTTTCCATAAAAAATGTCTAATTATCTTGTTAATTGGCCTTTAATACAATAAAACGATTGTTTTTAGCGGCGATAATTATTTATTGTTTAACCGTGTTTGCAAAAACAAAAGCTCAGATAAGCGTTTTGTTGTTCAGCGGTTGCGTTTCTCGGTGGCTGTAGCACCAGCTTTTGAAAAAAGGTGCTCAGTAGGAATGTTAATCCCGGGATCCCGGCCTTTTTAAGGTCTCAAAAATCCCGGGATTCTTCGGAAATAATGTAAGTGTAATTTGTAATTTACACTGATGGCAATGATAGAAACTCCTTTTCTTAACCAGCATTGGCTATATTTCTTTTTTTATTTAATAATCAATATTATTTTATAAATGTCTAGCTAATTATACCGCACGATAGTAAATTTTAAACACCAATATCAATATATTCGCGAATCCATGGGCTAAATATAGTAAAATTGCTTTTTTAGCTTTTTTTCACCATATATCATGTATATAAATTTAAAAATCACCGCAATTTAAAATTTTTAGAGTTTTGATAGTTTTGAATTTCTTGTAGTTTCCCATTTTAAATAACTTGAGAGGAATTCCAAAATTTTCTAAACTTTCAAAACTTTTTGAATTTGAGAAATTTTAGTAAATCACAATAATTCAATCCTTATTAATATTATAAATCCGAAAGTTTGTTTGTTTGCTACGCTTTCACGCTTTAACTACTCAACTGATCATCATGCAATTTTGTACACTGCTGTCATTTAGTCCAACTTAAAATATAGTATAAATTTAATCTCGATTAGACAAGGGGGCGTGGCACCTTCCATACAAACGGAATACAAACGGAATATTTCATACAGCATTTCTCAGGAAATATTTTTGATATATATAGTATATACAATCATTATCTACTCATGGATGAGAGCTGCCACCTTTTAAAAAAATCAAATTCAACTGTAATTTAGGGAGTTATTTATTTGAAAATTATATTAAAAAATTGATGTCAAGAGGCTTAAAAAAGCGGTAGTTCGAATATATTTTGAAAAGGGTTGCCACCTGTTTGAAAAGTAACATTTAAATTAATTATACGCAAGCTATCTCAAGAATTAAAATATGGGTGTCTAACGAAATATTGTTAAGAAACCTTTAGTTGAAAAGTTTTTACAAATTAAATTCAAAAACTAAATTTGACAGTAAAAGGCGCGCAATGGTTCTGGCGGTTGATTTATCGGTGGTGATTTGAGAATTACCCCTGCACAACTTAGCCCTGGTATCTCGGAATGAAGCTTTAACGGTAATAATGCTGGCAAATCACATCCATTGGGCCAATTGTAACACATAAGCGTTCGATATACTCATTGGTGCAATAGGTCGATTTAATCTGACATCCACGGCACCTTTTCTAACTTGGCGATTATTCGTAATGACTCCAGCGCCACTTGACAGCCTTTTGTGGCAATAGTATTGCCAATACATATTTTGAATATTAGCCAAAGTGGACCATAAATAAGATTTTTAGTAATAACTTAACTCCAGCGCCAACTTGCGGGTGAAATTGTAAAACTAAAAGTACACAAAAAATTTCGTTAAAATCGGTCCGGGCATTTAGGAGGATTTCTCTCACCATTTTTCTCCATGACTATAAGATTGATTTGATATATTGCCGTACCAAGTTCCGGTATTCTACCATGAACACTTCCAGAGATATACAGTAAGAAAAAATGAGTTTGTATAGGAGGTGCCACGCCCCCTTTATATATCGAAATTTTCTCAGCCTATAACCATCCTTGGGACGTCTGAAGCAGGTGTCCGAAATTTCAAAATAATCGGTTCGGCCGTTCTCGAGCTTTGCGAACACATAAAAAACGTCTTTCAAAATATATATTATTATAGATTATAGATTATAGATTATAGATTATAGATTATAGATTAT